ATATTCTTGGACCAAACACGGCAGCATAAAATTCAAGAATCACAATGCACGAGTACCAGCAATTACCATAAACAAATTACTCAAGAAAGACGCATAAAATTCATGTCTTTACACAGATAAACATAAATTGAGTACCTATGTGCTTACACCATAACCAGAAAAGAAATACCAAACACCTCCTCCAACCCAACACAAACCCTCATCAAAGAGAAAATCCAAACAAAAACAGAAGAAAAGAAAATGAGCGTTAACAGTTTAAATGGGTTTACCGTCTGACGAAATTTCTCGATACTGTTGCTGCGATTGTGTAGAGAATTTCTAGCCTTTACCGATTTATTTATGATATTTTCAGCCAACGCAGAACAATATATTTCTTCGATGTATCAACCCGATATTTCGGCAAATATTTTGTAGCAATGATTTTACAGAAGATTACTTCGAACATGGAGCTTACCTATCACTGGAATTACAGAAGATTGCTTCTTCCTCCTCTACCCCTCGTCGCTGCGCAAGAATTAGGGCAAACACCGGTTTCATCAATTTTATATGGGACAAATTTGTAATAATGTTGTCAATTGGGGCTAATCTGGTATTTTGGCAGCAAAAAGTGAGGGCAAAATGGGTACCAGATTTTTGGGATTAAGTTATCCATGGGGTAGGCCGGATTTTTTTATCAGCTTGTTGGGGATAAACAAGAGGACCACGCCTGCCACATAGGCGCCACGTCGTCAAAATCCTATCCAAATCCTTGTAAGTAAACAGCGGAAATTCCAGGATTATTTTCTTATCTAATCCTGTCTCTCAAAGTAAACGAGCCCTAGGTCGCAATTGGTTATATAATTTTTTATTTTTTATTTTTTTTTCTGAACGGGTGATCAAAGTAAAAAATCATAAAATTATTTTCTATAATATCTCATATTTTTCTCTTCAATTCCACTAAAATATTCAAATCATAATATTTATTATTGTATATTCTAATAAAACTATTATTCATTAACTTAGATATTTCTTACTATAAATTTTACTAATTACTAGTTTATTATTTTTTATATTATATTTATTTTATAATCACTCACAAACTTATATATATCTCACCTTTTGAAAAAAATAATGTTTTGTACTTTTTTCATCTCTATTCTTGAATAGACAAATTGTTTGCCAAGAAAATCCACCAACTCTCCTAAACTAATTAATAATTTCGACTGTTTTACAAATTGCCATAAGATCTTTGTTTGGTAGTGTAAACGACCTCAATTTGGTTCAACGCCTCTTTACTCGTGCTTAAAATCGCTGGAATTACCTGCAAAACAGTGTTGAGAGTTGTCTTGATGTAGAAACTCTGACACTCAAATCAGTAAAGAAGGATGAAGATGAACTATATACAAATGTATATGTATCTAGAATACTCAAAGTGTTTAGAGTGATGATGATCATATTTTGTTGTCCAAGATCTTGCAAATCTAGTTGCTCGAGTGCCCGAACTACCAGATCACACTGCCCGAGTGCCCGAACTGCTCAATTCTATTAGCCGCATACACCTATCTACATGACCTTATCCTAACTCGCTTTTATCTGTTATCTTGTGTGTTCACACTAGTCTACCTCATTAGGTAGTTGCTTTTAAGCATAATTGTGTTGTCAGTTCAATTCCCTTGAACTGGGTAGTTTTGGTCTTCAATGACTAAGTTTGCTTTTTAGGTCTTACGTCGACCTCTTCACTTTACAGGTTGAGTTTCCATTAGGCTAATCGAGAGTTCTAGCTCAACCTGTTGTTGAACTGCTCTACCTCGGAGATCATCATCGACCTGATACTCTAGTGACCTCGAGTCTTCTTGTTGTACATCCTCTGGTCAACCTACCGATCCACTTGAACCGCTCTTGTTGCTGTCATACATGGCCAAACGGATGACATATTGTATTCATTACCATAGCTCATTCCTATTTTAATATTTATTAAAAATGTATTTGTGTAACACATAAAATATATATAACAGAGCTTTACCCTCCTAATTATACGTTTTTTTCTTCTTTCTTTTTTTAAAAAATTTTACTCACTCAACGTTTTTTGGTGACTTTGTCCATATAACTTTGAAAAAAATACAATTAAGTAATTTCTGCTCACCGTGGCCCGCTTGTAAGAGCAAAATTGGATTTTTAGTGATTTAGTAAGGGGAAAATTAAATTTTCCCACCTAAATATACGCCTTTTTTTCTTTTTCATTTTACCCACTCAATTTTTTTTCGTGGCACTTTGCCCGTATAACTTAGAAAAGTTTTGTGTGGCCCATTTGTACGGACAATACTGACTTTCTCTGGTTTATTTCGAGTATGTTTGGTTCAAAAGAGAGAAAGAGAAGGAAAGAATTTTAATGGAGAGGAGAAAAGGGAAAGGGGGTGAAGTAATATACTTTTACCTTGTATGGAAGGAGAATTAGGGGAAAATGATAAATCTTTTTTGATAAGAAAATGAAAAAGGAGTGAAAATAATGTTAGAATGACAAATATATCTTTAATGATGTTAGAAATAAAAACTAAAATATTATCTATATCTATACTACTCTAAAAGAACGAGTGTTTTTGTAAAAATATGAACTACCTAAAAAACCCTTACTTTGGCATATTTTTAATAGTAAATTAGTGATACACTAATACACATCATATTTTATATTTTTAAATATTAAAATGAATTACCTAATAAATCCTTACTTTGACATGTTTTTAATGGCAAATTAGTAATATACTAATGTCCATCATATCTTATATTTTTAATTATAACTAATATTTAATTAATTAAATACAAATACATGAACAAATCATTCCACACTACTAAAATCAACTACAATATGTTAGTTTGACACCATTATTTCTCACGAATTTGTTTTCTTCCACATATCTCTAAAACTGTTTGATAGGATATACAATTGTTGTTTTGAAAAATGTCATCATTTTTAATATAATTTTAATAGTAATATTATAATCACATTTCATAACTCTAATATATAAAAGTTCCTTAAAGAAATTAAAATTGATCTAACAAAAAAAGCATAATAAACACTTATAAAACTAGAAATCGATATTGTTTTTTTCTCATAACGACCACAAAGTAAAGAAACATTATTTTCAAAATAACCTATACAAAATGTGTAATAGTATGCGAGATTAATTGTTGAATGATTGTTCTGCAACCTAAACTTCTAATCAATTCAATTTCTTCGATACATAAGACCAGAATAATTTTATGAAATTGTATAATACTAAAACTTAATCTATTTGTTTTCACGACATATGAGATACCACTTTAGCAATATGGATTAATTTTAACCATATAATTATCTACAAATAAATTAAAAATATCTCGAGAATCATAATATGATTTACATGTTGAAAATTAATTATTTTAATCAAATAATTATATTCATATATTATCATCACTCATCTATCTATTAATATGTGTTATTATAATAAAATAGTTTTTAAGAAAAAAATTTACGAAATAAAAAATTTATATATTTGAGTATAAATGAGAAGATTATAATTATATATAATATAATATAAAGATATAAAATTAATTGATATAAATAAGACATATGATTCAAAAAAGTGCTATACTTTAATTTTATGTATTTTTTAACAAACCTAAAAGTTATGCACACACACACACATATATATTAAAATACATATGAAAGAACAGTTTAAAGTTAAAAAAACAATAACTCTAATAAATAATATTAAATTTATAACTAAGTTGTAATACTTACTAATAACTATGAAAAAAAGTAATAAATAAAAATTTTATAATTAGTAAAAGTATTTGTAGAACTTCTAAATTTGTATTTATCGACATAAGCAAATAATTGTAAATAATTATGTTTTTTAAAACTTTATGAACAAAAGTTGACTCGACAATATTATTGAGGAATTTATGAATTATAAATATTTAGTTGTAGTATAAATTAAAAAAAAATTGTAATTAAATATAATATAATATAAGATATACAAATAATTGAAATATAATGAGACAGATGGTCGAAACAATTCTAGACTTTATATCATGCATTTTTTGACAAATCTACAGTTAATAACATGTAAAAGAACAAGATAAAAGTTTAAGAAAAATATTAAATATGATAAATAATATTAAAAATAAATAAGTTGTGACATGTACTAATAAATATGAAACAAAGTAATAAATAAAAATGTTATAATTAATAGAAGAAATATAAACCTTTTATAAATATACTTATCGACGTAAACGAGCTGAGTTGTTATTGTTAGTTTTTTCTCCTTATAATTTTATGTGTAAATTTGATGTGATAGACAATAGTTATTTGTACATTTATCCATGTAAGTTACCAAAAAAAAAATCTTTATTATTCTAATTTTAAATAACTTTTTATTTGCTATATTAGTTTTTTTTAACATAATATATAAATATCATATTGAACATATAAAATAGGAAATATTCTAATTTTTAAATATTTAATATGTAAGAAATATAACTCAATTGGTAAATTAATAGGTAATCTTGAGATAAAATAATGAGTGATTTCTGAAAAAAAAAAAAACAAAAAAACAAAAATTTGGGAACTAAAAAGTTCATGTGTTTAATATATTTTTAATAGAAAAATTGTAAACACAATTAACCAATAAATACTACATAAAGAATTAATGTTTAAGAGGACTACAACAAATTTCTATATTGCAATGAAAAATTCAACGGTGAGGTAATCTACAGAAAATTCCAACGAATATTTCATAAATATTGCTTTCATTGGAAAATTTCATTGGCTATTCCAACAAAGTTCAAATTAAATTACTTGAACTTTAGTGGATTTAAAGATTTTAATTACTTGAATTTCCATTGGATTTTTTTTTGGACCATATTTCAATCGTTGGAAAAACTGTCATTGAAATTGTGCAAAAATTCAATGGAAATTCCATTAGAAAGCTAATTGCAGTGATAGATCTAAAATAATTTCATATTGGGGGCATTATTTAGTTAATAGAAAAAATATACCATCAAAATAACATGTCATTGTAATTTATAAATTAATCTATCACCTTTCTCATTTTGTAATACATTTTAATAAATCAATACAGTCACAATAAAATAAAATATATTTGAGAAACCAAAAAATATGATTTTTCTCAATTCAACTTAAGAAGATCATTATATTCTTGTTGTAATTTTCGTTGGAATTTTCTCATTTTCTTGTAGTAAAAGTAGGACTCCAAATCTATAAAGAAAAATTGCATTATATATAATATTGTGTGCAACTATTATTATGAAAATTTTGATATGATAGAAAATATAACACATTCAATGTAATTGTCGTTTAATTTATGATAATAAGTAATTTTTATTTCAAAACAAAAATAAGTAATTTTTGTTTCAAAACAAACAAGATACTTTGAAAGGTCCTTAATTATTTTATTAGTATTATAATAACTAAATAAGGGGTAAGAATGATGAGAAAACTTATAGCTCTCATTAAATCAAAGAGTAAAAATACTGATAAAATTACTTAATGTACAATATCAATTGGAGCTGGCTAATGAGAAATATAAAACATACTTAAGATACACATATATTTTAACTAGAACTTTTAGATATCCATTTCTTTAAAATTGGGTATGTTAATCTTAAAATTTTTTAAGTAAAAATTTAATTACTTTCTCTCATTAAATTTTTTAATTTTGAGATACTTCATATTTTTTTATTTGTTACTCTTTTTATATGTAATATATCACATCATTTCTTTTCAATAATGTTTGAGTTGACCAATATATTACAAATAAAATAAAAATAATATAATTATTTATATCGATATATATATATATATATATCAGTAATAATTTTAAAATAATAAATTGACCTAAAATTATAGTATATATTAATTTATTTATTCAAGTTAAATCAATTTTATTAAGTATAGAATAACATAAGATAAACTTGTGGTATATTTTTCTTACATAGATTTGAAACAATTCATATTACAAATAAAATTAAAAAAAATGGAGGTAAACTTACAACTATTCCCACATTTTAGCTAGAGCGCCCATTCCCGATATATATTTGACACTGGTTTGCCGTAATGCTGAAACTATGGCGAATGCACCTTAGGTACAAACGAAGCGAAGCAAAGTGAAATCATATATAAAAGAAGGAAAAGACTAGGCCAGAGAAGGGAAATAAGATAACATTAGCTATGTGAATTAAAAAGACAAATAAATGAGTTGGACGTTAAACTATTATTTAATTACTGCTTAAAAAAGAACCCTATAATGGTGGTACCATATATGTATTCAGTGATTATGAAAATGACTTAGTTATCTAATATTTTATCATACATTGGAAAAAATTGTAAACTTTTTAAACTAATAATTCGTATAAAAAGTGTATTTTTATTAAATATATTAAATTTACATTATATCTTATGTGATTATAGTAGTTGCAGCCTAATAAAAAAGATAATTTGAAAACATCATTATATAAAACACATACAAAAAATAACGCAATACATAAAAATGTGTTTTAATTATTTAGCAAATAAAATATTATTTGTCTATAGAATAAGAAACAAATAATATAATAGTAACACAATGAGAAAAAGAATACGTGTGAATTTTCTTAGAGAAGTATGAATACCAATATTTACGAACAAAAAGACTTTGAAAACTACTACTTTTTTATTGCTAGCGTTTAAATATAGGGACTCTGTTAGAAATTGGTTTTCATAAATAATGATCCTATATTATTTATTTTTAATTTTAAATAATTAAAAAATCCAAAATTTGTAATACATAATGTATATTTTAATCATGACTTCATAATAATAAACTTTACAGATGACTAAGAGTATCATAATATAATAGAAATCTAACTCTTCTCCTATCAAATATTTTAACAAATGATATGCTTCTCAATATTTTCTCATTGTTTTGATTGTTTTGTTTTGTCATTGTTGGAGAATAAAGAACTGATCTTTATCTTGAATTTTATAATCATTTTGTATGATGAATAATGTTGGACAATAAAAGCATTAAAGAAATTATTAGGCACACAAATATTGCATATTTAAACGAATGTGAAAGATATTATGATAAACAATTCTAAAATCATTGCAACAACCATGATGGTCAATAATTTTCAAATAATAGATTATATTGTTCGTATATATTCCAAATAAACAACAATGTCGGAGTATCAAAACAATTTTGAATGTTCGAATGAAGTTGTCACTTTTTATAGAAATATTTATAATCTCATCGTTATATTGTACTCAAACATATGTGCAATTACTTTAGAGGTACTTTCAAGTAATGTATGATGATTTCAAAAAATAATTTCGTACCTCGGGAGAAGTACATGTAACCAAAATTTTGGAACCATGTAACCAAAATTTTGGAAAGTCAACTTTTATTTGGAGATAAAATTCATTCCCACCTCGTGCAGCGATGCATCAATGGGGTAGGCACCAATATGTCTAGAGACAGAGGAATGTAGTAGTTTATACAATGATAAAAAAATACCAGCATTTTTAATGACATAGTTAGTTATTTTATAGAGATATTAATGCATTGTTAGTAGAAGTACCTTATTATAAAGATTATACGATCATGAAGTTTGACTATATGTTGGGTCAGAATGTTTCTTAAGTGTTTGAATAAAATTAACGTTTTGCCAAATGAATTAAGAGAAATTTTGCAATAGTATTGATGTATTAGACTTCAGCGAGTATGAATGTTTTTTATAAGAAAGATGAAAGAAAATTTTAGTGGTTTTTGTATTAAGGATTTATTTTTTATATATTTTAGTTGGAGGTTGTAAAACGTTATTTCACTCTTTTTATATTAGGACATCATTACGCTAATTCTAAATAAAAAAAAAAATCACATATGAATTCATTTGTTTTATATTTTATTTGATTCCTACAATGATATGTTTAATAAATAAATTAATTTATTTTATAAACTTACTCAGCAAAAATCATTCGATACCACGTGCATCGCACGTGCACTTTACTAGTATATAATAAAGGTAGAATTGTAATTGAATGTATTCTCCCATTTTTGAATGGGAGCAATAATGGGAAGGAGAGGGCATGTTAAGTTAAAATTTTAAGTTAAATTTTTCGCTCCCTTGCTATCCAAATTTCCCAACCAAACAAGTAAAAAAACCTCTCCTCTCCCCTCTCTTCCTTTTTTTTTTCTTTGCTTTTGTTTTTTTTTTTTTCTTTATTTATGTTGTTCCTGATTCTTTTTCCCTCCCTGTTTATATTTTCAGGAGCATATGAGATTAGATGAGTTATTGATACAGTTCTATTTAAAGAGTTTCAAGGATATTTGATTTTAGTGTAAAGACATTTGCAGGTTATTACCATATTTTTGTAGGACAAGAATTCATAGTTGTCAATTAGATTCCATTGTAAAATTTATTCATTCGATTCACATTATCAACCTCGCATGTAAGTATGCAAGGTGCATTTTTTTGTTTATGTAACGAAGTCACATAATATGTTATCCTCGAAGGAAAAGCAAATGGGAAAAAAACAAGGGAAAAATTGGGCACATATTTCTTACATTGATATGGTAACAAAAATGTTTTGATAACTATTGGGTCAGCACCTCCAACATATACATTTTAGCTTCATATATATTCATATATAATCCGCTTGCACAATCTTTTTTCCAATATACTTGGCCAAGAAATCGTATCCATGGAAGTAAAGAGCTTCTATTTCGGCTCTATGGCCACTTTCAATCATGACGGCAAGTTCTTCCTTGTAATTATCCTGCAAAAAAGCACAACTCTTTCCGAGACGTTCGGGAAAAAGAGAAACTTTCTCCACATGCAAAAGAGAAACAAACTTGCATATGTAGTTACATTTAATAGTTAAAACGATCCTTAATGTATAATTTAGTTTACTAATCTTGCGCTCTATTGAAGAAGTATTTGCGATTAACGCTGCACACGTGACGGCATACTTGTGACGCCTCCAGCAAGCATTTGTAGTTAAGAAACAAACGGGGCTCTTTGTAATTTATTTACTTACTAAAGTTTACCATTTGTATTAGTTTCTTCATTTTACTGAACCATAGAAAATGGGCACATTTTACCTGCAAAATCTCCGAGGAAGACAAGTTTTTGGCAATTTGATGATCACGTTGCTTCAATGGGACCAGAGATTCTTCCGGTACGAATTGCTCTATGTCATCCTTGCGCAGTCCAAGCCACTTGACATTGCAAGCTAATTTAGGGGAAATTAGTCTTTTACGAGACCGAGAGTTGAAACAAGAAGGGCATCAAAGAGTTGGGAAAATGTACCGTATCTGTAAGCTTCCAGACCCATTGTAACACTTCCGTACTTGAAGGTGCATAATATTGCCAACCCAGCTGGATTCCTTCACAATGGAATGAAGACTAGTGATCAATGATTAGTAATCTACGCAAGAACTATGCATCCTAGAGATAAATTGGTCGATTGTACCAGTCAACAAGCCCAATAATTGGAAGTTCAGGAAATTCTCGACTCATTCGATGAAGAAAAAGCCTGCTAGGAATTTCAACACTTGAGATGACATTTGATATTTACTAACAAAAAAACAAAGGAATGTATTTTATGCTTGTTGAAATTAAATATATATAAATCACCTGGTGCCAATATCTGGATATCCTTTGGCTGTGATGAGAATACAGGGAATTTGATTGAATATACGATCCTCGGCTAGCCTCTGGAAAATGGCGTGCTGTGGGATGCAGGTGTTTCATATTTTGTTGCACGAGAAGCAGGAAACAGAAGGTGCATTTCATTGGGCTCAGAAAGTGAAACGTTTCCATGAAATTGATTACCTTCTCCACCACAATGATATATCTAGCATCACTCTTCATAACCAAATTTTCTAGCACATTAGGTCTCCAGAGATGGCATAGCCAGAAGATCCACAAGCAGAGCAGTCCACGACTTCCTGATTTGGCCCCTACTCAACATATTTAAAATAAACAATCAATTCAGAATTACTTTCAGCTGCATATTAATGCAACTCAAGCTGCCCAGCCATTCACATTAAATTTCTGGACTTCAGTTTATTTCCCTACTCAAAGTACCAAGGAAAATATCAATGAAGAAACTAAATAAAAGAAAAGGAAAAAGGAAATCACAACATCACATGTGCAACTATTACATGCCTGCAGCAAGAGGCGGCCTGCAACTGCTCCTCTGCTAGAAGCCATTATCCCAAGGCTATACCGGCTGCACTTAAGCAATGCCACTAAATCTGTTTTGCATACATGAATGTAAACACATATTTGGCTAATTGACTTCAATATAATATGAAATCCTAAGCTCCCATTCCAGTTTTACTCTACTAGAGAAGAAAGTAACCACTCGTTAGATATAACAATCATTGTGGTCCCATTTTGCTCCTTTTTTGGATACTCCAAGGACCATTATCAGGAATTCATGCAAGAAAACACGAGAAAATCTGTATATAGAAGAAAAACTTTCAACCTTGGACAGTCCGGTTGACCTGTAATTGAGAAGTAAAAAGCTGCGGTGAATCGCACAGCAGTTTGTAAAATAACTCCCTCTGAGTTACTTTCTTTCCTTGACCAAGAATCTGATAACACATCTCCATCACCTTCCACACTTTGTACACAAGAGCAAGTTTCAAATCGGAAAGAGGAAACAAGAAATAACATAAAAATATATTATCGGCAACACAATGTTCACTATAAAATCAAATCAAATATACCTCTCATAAATGAATTGGCAGTGTTCTCATTCATCAAAGACTGCGTACAAAAGGAATGCGAAAGAAAAATCTTCGAGTGCTCGATTAGCAACCCTCGACTGACTCTGCTATTGCTCGTTTTCCGGTTAATCTGTGTGCAGATTTAAGACCTAAATTCGTACACAACGGTTCGAAGTTTTCTTCTTCTATATCATCTTATCAAGCATCAAATGCAATTGTCCAGTAAAAACGAATTTATCCAAAATTTATGATAATTTTATCATACCACAGGCAAAGCAGATACTGATGACGCCGTTGAATTAAGGTTTTTCAGGAAATTGAGGACCGCAACTTCGATCCGAGCTCGAACCTGAAATTTCAAAAAATAAAATAAATAAAATTAAAAGTTACATATAATTATATTTATCGAGAGGATAAATCACGAACATCGGACGGAGGAAGGATATCGGCGTGGCAAAGGTGTTGATCTGAAAAGAAGATGGAGTTCTTCAAAAGTTCACCCATTTTCTGGAGACGAACCAGATGAAAAATCGTGGGAGATATTTTCGCGGGCTTCTGGAATATTTCGAAATTTGTATTGTATTGGCAATTTGGCATAGCTGTTTGCGTTGCCTTGGTTTTCTTCGGGTTGGGTTGACCCGCCGAACCGACGGGTTCGGCCCATTGACCGACAGCCTGAACCCATTGACCCGAGTTCCTAGTTAAATTCGGGGCTGGTCCCATAATTATACAGGCCAGTTTCTCGTCGAGCAAAAAATGAATAAATATTGCGGCAGTTATTTTTTTTTTTTATTTTTTATTTTTTAATTCTGGCCATTAAATTTTGTAGACGTTTCCACAATAACAAGTGAAATTTGTCCAACCTGGGCAGTTTCTTTTTAATTTTTTTTCCAACTTTTTACATAATAAAAAAGATACTCGAACTTTAAGGTCAAACCTAAAACCAAAACCGGCTGGACATGAAAAGCTGCTAAATAGCCGGGATGATTCGGTTCAAGAGTTTATAAACGGCCTTGGCCATTCCTAATCCTAGTGACCATCACACATTGTAACTTTGGGTTTCGAACTTTCGTATACCTTACACTAACACATTACTAAAGCACTTTTCATTGTGTGGAATGAATTTTTATGAGTGTGTACTTGAGGGTGGCATGTCTCTACGAGCTATGATGGAGATATTACAAAGCTATCTCAACATGTGTTAGGTTCAATAATGCAACAATGAAAACAGTGAACTCTACTAAAAAAATTGTCCTTGCAATAACTTTTCAGCTTTGCTTAAAAGAAGTGCCTTTTTTCCTCCCTGGATTCATATGCTCTCGTTTTGAATATTAAAATCAAAGTAAAACAATTGAACAGAACTCAGCAAGACATTAAAATCAAGTAAATCAAGAAACCGTTCTTTACCTAGTTTGTTCAATATGAAGGCAGAATAAGCCAAATGTGTTAGTAATATGCGACTCAAGCAAAACAACACTAGTTTGCACCACCCTTTATTTCAACTCAAAGAGGAAACCATACCAACAATTGAAATCATCCAAATAATAAATTACCGGGAAATATAAACATCTAACGGGAAATAATTTTCCCAAAAATACTTCGGAACTTCGATAAATATTTGACATTGCAATTCCACTTGTGAGTTGATCTGCGTGGTGATGCTGGTCACTTTATGCATTTCTGCTTGTACACCAAAAATAAGATGTGAATATCAGCTGGTCGCAATTTGGAACCTTAGAATGAACATATGGTAAGGGGGTAAATAGAAAGGTACCCAACTACCATCTTCAGGCCCTTCCATCCCATTCTTGATAAAACTCTTCCAAAAACTCCTCCATGAATTTGTGCCTTCTTTCCGCCCTCCTCTGACCAGCCTGGCATTTATCGGCAAGTTTTTCGTTCAAAAATATATAAACAACAACAAAAGAAAAAATCTAACAGAAAGCTTTGGAAGAAAAAAAAAATCAATTTCTGTGAGGAAATGCATAATTCTGTAAAGTGAAGACTCAATTCTTTGTCTTGACTAAATTAGTGAACCTTTGTTTTCATCAACTCTTTCAACTTGAGAAGCTTCTCATGAAAATGGTTGACTGTGGTCTGCTTGTCTTTATTCATGTACTTTTCCTTGGACAAATCTGATCGGGGTTTTATGTTGGGATCATACAGCACACTGTTCCTGCTTCCCCCAAATGTGAAGCAACGAGCAATTCCTGAAATTCATTCCATGCTTAAGTTATCTAACTGTAAGATTGTCAATCACAACTAAAAAATAAAAATAAAAACAAAATTTCTCAAAAAAAATCCAAAAAACAAAATTTATCTAACTGTAAGATTGTCAAGCATGCTTGGATACAAAATTTCTAAAAAAAATCCAAACATTTTTAACTCAACCACTTTTTTTATCTCAATTTTAACACAACCTCACTATCATCAATATTATCAATATAATTAAATAATATCAATCAATCATTCTTACACACCACCTTACCATAATTCACTATTCATCTACTCACATAATTTTAACTAACCATCACTTCAAATCTTCTCTCTCCTACTTTACATCAAATCAACTTTAATCATTTTATTTTAAATATTATTCTAATATACCCACTAATATCTAACCATACCAACTATTTCAAAATTAACCAAACCAAACAAAAAAATCCAAACAAAACCAAAATTTTTATATCCAATGAATTCAAGAAAGGTGACCTTGCTCAGAAGAATAGATATGCATGTTGGATTAATGCAAACCCAAGAATCACAACGTCCAATTGGCGGTTTTATAAATCACTGTAAATGATTGGAAAGTCATTTTATGAAAGCTTCTACTTTGTGTAACACCCTTGGAATAGTTTATAAACACCCTTTCAGAAAATTT